GAAACGTATCTGCGTGAAAGAGCTCATTTTTGGATATCATAATTATACATAACTGTGAAACTTTCTCACGATGCTACTTTCACTGAAACCATTTTAAAAAATCAAGAAAAAATAAAAATGTTTCCATGGCCTACGTAATCACCTAAAAATAATTTCGGGCTTAAACACGTTATGAAGAAAAAATCATATTCACTGGCAGCGCCATTGTTATTAAACCTGATTGCAAGCTTCTATTCGTCTCCCCTACATCCCTATAGAATTTCAGTAACCATGTTTTGATGGCTGTAACTATCACGCGAGTACGTGCTTGCAATCAGGCGTCACATTAATAGCGTACCCCACTTGTTATTACTACCAAATCACTGTCGAGGCAGTCTTTCAACAAAACTAACGAGCGTAGTAGTGAAAATCAACGTCAAACCTAGAACAGCCTATATTCATTATTCAAGCTAAACAGCACAGCTATGCTATCTGAAAAACCGCGAACGCTCGTAACTTCAATAACTACCAAGAAAGAAACCCGTCTACGCCCGCTTTCTAGAAGTACTGCTCTGCTCAAGTGGTCAGGAGATACTTCAATCGACACATGTGAGAGTGAAAAACAGCTCCATTACCCACATCCTCATTACTCAGTTATCTACCACGAATTATTCTTGTTATCAATGCTTCCAAATTGACCGCGAGGAAAAAAACTCAGTAAGTTAAATAAAGCGGGCCAGCTTTGTACCTTTACACTACTTACCATCTCACTTCAAACTGCTTAGCGAGTAAATCCTAAGCATACCTCTTTTGAACTACACAATGCCCATGAGCAAACTCTAAAAGCAGAACAATCGTGACGTCATCAAGAGACCAATAACGTCAGTGTCCTGGCAGTGAACACGTAAATTGAGCTATGAAGCAGGCAGCACAAAGAAACGGGGCTAAACGGCCTAATCCAAATCAACCTTAGCGGTTAGTACACGCGCAAACGCCGCGTGTATTACATCCGGACAGGAAACGAAGCAGATTCTGGAATCGTCACCGACGATCGAACGCACAGAATCACGTAGCGACTCGCCGGCACCAACAAACAGTGCCATCACACCCTAAACAATGTATTTAGTACATGAAAACAAAGTAATATTTCTCCAAAAGCGATTCAATTCGGAAGCACAAGTTCAAATGATACGATTTCGAAGACGCTTGCCCACATTTGGATTCTCAGAAACTGCATGCTTTAGCATGGGCAAGTCACTCGCGGTGTCACCGGCAACAAGGACTTTCCCTTTCTTCAAAGAATCATGAAGAGATTCGATCAAGGAAGCTACACCATCACCCTTATTCCACACAGACCCTAAAAATATCATCTCTCAGGTAAAAGAAACTTGAGACAAAATTTGCACCTGAGTTATGGGCGCACACTTCAATTTCAAGAGGCGAAGAGTTTTCCAGAACGAGGTTCTAAACATTGAAAACGCATTATTATTAAAACCACTTCTTTACTAATGGTTTTTAGTGTTAGAATGTGATGGCAAAATCAGAGAGCAGACTTACGGTATTGTTCGGATCCACGCGGTGAATCCTTTCCTTAATAGCATCAATATATCTCACGACTAGTTCAAGAGGTATGTGTCCAAATACAGTTTGCACTCCCAAGGTGAGGCGGTCCACCTAAGGAGCAGAACTAGGAATAGAACAACAAAAAGAAACTCTCGAAACAACCTTTCTCTGCACACCACTGCCAACCAACGCAAACTGCGCGAAGTCGCCGTTCGCGAGAAGATCAGTCATCTGCTAATCATAGTCTAATTTTCAAGATGGGTTCTCTTGACGATTTAGCGTTTCAGAGTCTTACCTCATCACTAAGTCTGCCGATTGCATCAAAACCTTCTTCGGAGATTCCATCCTCATGCACAACGCGTTTTCCTCGCAACCACCACTCACGACCCCATGAACCACTTAAAACTTATACACTGAATCCATATGGAAGTGCTTCAGAGCAAGATTTGAATGAGTTTATCTTCAACAAATGAGAAATTCGACACTGTGCGAAAAGAAAGAAATCTATGATAAGCTCGGGCTTTGGGCACATTTTCAAAAGAATAATCGGCAAACATACCTAAACAAAACAGGCCCATTGATTGGCAGGGCTGTGAGATCCAGAATACCAGGGCCTCGCAGTGGTCCAGCGGTAAGTACGGCAGTAGCTCTGGTGAAAAGTTCAGCAAATCTACCCATTACGACGGCACTGTATACCGGCTGCAAAAAAACTTTTTTTAGAAGATAGTATGTAAATATTTTGTAAAGTAA